ACAGCACGAAGTTGAAGTATTTACCAGCACGCCAGCACGGATCAGCTCCAGGCATGACGAAGCGGATATCGTCCTCTTTTGGAAGACCAAACAAAGTAGTTACAACGAAGCACAACAATATTACAGCGAGAATAAAATTTACGCCTTCCTCCTTTGTGTGAACATTTGGGCGGCGTTATGCAAATCTTCCCACATAGAGACGTAGATATGTGGGGGCGTGTTAGAACGAGCCGTTTTAGGTAGGCGTGGCTGACTCTTAACTTTTATAAAGAATATCTCTTTGGATTTGAGACTTTAGTCTTTGCAACTTTACAGATCTTCTTTATGCACCAAGAGCTTGTAACACTCCAAAGAGAAAGGAAAAATTGAAATCGCATCATATGACCCCTTTAATTCAAACAAAAGAGTGTAAGTAAAAAAATGTGTTCATGTGAACTTTGTGATGCTGTTAATTGCAAGAATTGTGTATATAATTTATTTTTAAATAAAATGTATTTATTTTTAACCATTGAAATAATCTGGTTTGTTCACAGTCATATTTCAAAATGCAACTGGAGCCCTCTGAATCCTGTCACATGCTTTTTTATTTTGTTTGTAACAGTTTAGATAATTGCAGACAGCTTGCTGTGGGTCAGAGGGAAGATTGATGAACAGATGACATAAGTGCTAATGGAGGTGTATTGACGCTTCTTGCCCTTAAGCAAAACGAGAGGCTGAGAATATAGGGGACGAGTGTAATTTATTTCAGGTGTCACTTAGAGCTTGTTGGAAGTCATGCTGGTATAATCACAGTGGCAGCCGTCATGAGCTCTGCATTAACGTCTGGATCAGACACAATGCTGCTGGAAGCGTTTGGATTCATGCCACTGCAGAGGCAGAAGAGCGTTTGAACAGCAGAACCGCACCCTCACAAACATACCTTTACTTTTGGGATGCGTCTGACAGCGGTTCTCGATGTGTCAATAATAAAATGACAGTCTGATGTTTGGATATGCTTGTTTTTCTCGTCCTGTGAGTCAGGTTGAGATCTCATTGGTTTGACCCTGAGACTGTCTGATTGATGAAGAGTCTGTTCTTCTCCACGCAGAGTTTGCTATAATGGGCTGGTCAGACTTTGTGGGCATGAGGCTCGATATTAAAAGAACAGGTTGTCATCGCAAGCTTTGCACTTCCCAAAACAGTAATAACTTCCTGGAGAAATACAAAAAGAGGAAGATCATAAATATGCATGCATGGTTTTCTTGTCGGGAATTATTTGACAGAAAGGCCTTGCATAGCTGCTTATCTTCTGACAGTAACAAGAGAATACATAGAGTTTTTCAGGTTCGGTGAATACCGGAGTTGTAAAGGAAACCGCTAACATACAGTGAGCTGAGGATTAAGTGCTTAGGATCTTGCTCTAAAGATTAGCTGGAAATAAAAGCAGGCGATTGCACTATAATTTGTAAAAAATAAAAATTTTCTTTCAATTTCACTCAGAATGTATTCGCCAAGTAAGATTATTACAAGGAGTTTGTTGTATTAAATCGTTCACCATGCACAATTCTAAATTCACTTTCACTTTTGTTTGGTTTGTTTTGATCTCTCTGTGCACAAAACCCACATCCACACCCTCCTGAGTTTGACAAACACACACAAGGAAGGTGAAGCATCTTCACTGTGATAAATAGTTTGACTGTGGCCCTTATGCAAAAGTTTACTATGAAAACCTACTGTTTTTTTATTATTTAATATTTTAATGTATTTTATTCAGCAAACTAAATTGATGCTACAAAAGATTTCTATTTTCAAATAAATGCTGTTCTTTTGAAATTTCTATTCATCAACAGTAAAGACTGGAATAATGATGCTGAACATTCAGCTTTGCATCACAGAAATAATTTACATTTTAAATCAATATCATGCTCTGTAAATATCACCATGTACAGTACTATG